CACAAAACCAGTCCAGAAATTGATCGAAAGTACGAGGACCAAAACCCAATGAAAACACCTCGAAAAATTCTGAAATTTCGGATACAGCTAGCCCTATCTGTCTAAAATACTTGACCAAAAATTCAGATAAAAATTCCCAGCCAAGTAATTGCAGTTTATTTTTTTCTCAACACTGCCAGATTAATTCGATTTTTGACCAGTTGTAAAGAACGAACTCAGTTTAATAGCTAGGCTACTTGAAAATTTTTCAAATTTTCAGGTGAAAACTAGACAAAAAAATTAACCAATTTGAAAAAACTAATCACCTCAAAATCTTTAGAAACGAAGGAGAACCAAGTCGATCAATATAACATTCGAAATTGAGGTTTTTGACTCAAATTGTCAAACTCGTCCCTCGTCAAACAGCAGCCACACCAATTTGATATGATTTTTGATGGATATAACCTTCAATCGCAGTTGAAAGGTTTGGAATCTTGAGTCTCGGTCAAGAAACACTAAGCAATACGAGCTTAAAACCTAAACTAGGCCAAGAATACACAAGCACAAGCTTACGTAAAACTTTATAAATTTCAAATCAATCAATCATACTTTTCGTTAAACACCATCACGTATTTATAAGCTAAATAATTAGCATAAAAATTGGTAAAACAAATTATAATCTAACTAGGAAACTAACTCTAACTTGTAAAGATAATATTTTGCAAATATGATCTTTAAAGTTAAGCTTATCTTATACTAATCGAATTAAACTAACAAAAATATCCTAATAAATTCGGTCATCTAATAATAAACTAAAAATAACAATAAAAATAATTATAATAACAATATTGATGCCTTGGAACCGCATCAGTAAGGGCTCCGCCAAGGTTAGAAGGAAGGAAAGGGCGGCTGAAATTTTGATTTTTTTTTTAATTTTTTGATTTTGGACCATTTACGTGTTGACACATGGCAATTAAAAAGAAATGAAAAAAAAAATTTCAACAGGTTACCGGTCATTGGGATCATTGGAAGCAAACTGACCCCATAGTTGGGATTATTAAAAGTAAATAGTCCATATTTGGGATTATTAAAGTGTATTTTTCCTTTTATTAATACTACACTACCCTTTTTCTCTAGCAAAAGGAGATCGATTATGGGTAAATTTTTACACTACATTTTCAAGTTTACAACAATATACCCACTACCTTTGGCTACTAGCCAATATATGGATTAGTTTTAAGAGGGCTTTTTACGTAAACTCTAACCCAATCACCAACCACTGTCGCGGCTTCCCTACACACTACCACCGGCCAGCCCCACTACCGCAAGCCTAAAAAAGCCGGCGATAAACTCCATCGCCCCACCAGCCCTTCCCTCGATAACTCCATCGCCCTAACAGCCCTTCCCTTGATAACTCCATCACCTTTACCACCACTGTCACCGAATCACAACAAAATCACGGCACCACCACTTATCACGACATCATCACCACCACTCTTGTCGAACTCAGCTATAAACGTCGTCAAACAACCGAAACCCTAGCACGCACTCAGGCCATACCCAAACCCACAAACTGCCTTTTGACTCTCACCCTCACCTTAGTCACCTAAACCCAAACCCGTATGTACCTAGAAACCAAATCGACTTCTGGGCAGCGGATTTCGCGGTGGATTTGGTTTACGCAAGGATTGAAAGGACTGGGGTGGTTGTCACGCGGATATGAGGGTGGTGGTTGGGTTGATCTCGCTGGTTTTGGTGGGACCGGGGGTGTCGGTGGATGAGGGTTGGCGTTCGGCGGCTAGGATTGGGCTGACGGTGTTGGCTAGTGGCTGGTTAGGGTTGTTTTATTATTTTTATTTATCTCTTTTTTAAAACCAATAACTAATTTAAGGAAAAATATTTTTATTTATTATTTTTATTTGTTTTACTCTTTTGACAATATGGAAGCAATTTAAGGAAAAATACACTTTATTAATCTCAAATATGGGATTTACTTTTAATAATCCCAACTAAGGTTTATTATCTAATAATTCAAACTATGATATGTGTTTGCCTCCAATAGTCCCAACCGGTCAACACCAAGTAAACGACCAGTTATAACATGTTACCATGACACATGTCAACACGTAATTGGTCCAAAATTTTAAAAAAAATAAAAAGGGAAAAAAAAACTAGATAGTTGCCCTCTTAACCTCCACCACGTACTCCAAATCTTACTCTACACCGCCATCCCCTGCTCCCACCAAATCCTAGCAGCAGCCCATCACGCTGCACTTCCTCCATCACACCTGCCCTTACTTCGCTAGAACCCTAATTCCACCCCCTAACCTCGCCAAAAAACGGCCGACCAACCCCCTTAATAACCGAAAATGGTCGACCGTCCTCTAGCATCCATTCCCGACCCCCAAAATTACCCACCTAGATCCCTAAAGCCTCAATTTTCTTCCTCATACATTTTCTCTTTCTTCCTCTTCCGCCCGCCATTGCTGCGATTTCAGTTCTTCATCGTTCATGTCGCGGACTATAGGTTGCATTTTGTGGATTCAGTTGCGCTAAAATCGAACTGAATGAGCATTCTTCGTTCGTTGTGGGAGCTTCACTGTCATTTTCGGTGGTTTTGGGGGGTCAGGGTGGGATGGGTGGTTAGTTTTGTGGGTCGAAAATGGGTGATAGAGGTTGACCGGCCAAAGTGGTTGTGGGGGGTTGGTCAACCGGTTCCAACGAGGTTAGGGGTTGGGTTAGTGTGGGAGTTTATTGGTACGAAAACGAAAAACATGAATCATATTCATATAGCACTTCATACCAAGAACATGCAAAACACATAAATAATTAGAATTAATACCTTTGTAGCGCGATTCCACGTGTGATCGAACAAGAACAAGGGAGACAAAGAACCTCAAACGTGATTCCTCTACTTGGTCCTCGGGCACGGATTAAGACCTCCACTAATGATAGTTAGTTGCAATTGAACCCTTCAATTGACCTTCTAAGGAGAAGAACGAGCAACGAACCAACCACGAACCACCACACGCGCCACTAGGGGTGGCCGGCCGTGAGTCCAAGTGGAGGAGAGAGAGAGTCGTGGGTTAGAGAAAGAGTGAGAGGGTTTTAGGAGTTTTTGGCTGCTTGATTCACAATCAACTGTTAATTGTTCTATATTACAACCCTAGGCATGGATCTTATTTATAGATCTCATCTCTAAATAAAAGTCCATGACAAATCCCAAAACCTAACTCTAATCTAACTATGCTAGCCCAATCCAATTCATGATTAGTTACTTACTCATGAGGCCCATAATGGGCCTCTAACTTGCTTAACCCAATACCTTAATAGGATCCATTCTAGTGGGATTTGGACTATTTGACTAGCCCAAAGATCATTGATCATAGTCTAGCAACAGATAATGACGACCCAAAAGAACGAACTTATTATCTTCATAATAGTGATCCTTAATATATCTAGTAATTGCACTTATTGAAGGCATAACTCCTTCACTATGTAAGGGCTCCGCCAAGGTTAGAAGGAAGGAAAAAGGCGGCTAAAATTTTTATTTTTATTTTTTTAATTTTTTAATTTCAGACCATTTACGTGTTGACACATGGCAATTAAAAAGAAATGAAAAAAAAAAACTTTTTCAACAGGTTACCGGTCATTGGGACCATTGGAAGCAAACTGACCCCATAGTTAGGACTATTAAAAGTAAATAGTCCATATTTGGGATTATTAAAGTGTATTTTTCCTTTTATTAATACTACACTACCCGTTTTCTCTAGCAAAAGGAGATCGATTATGGGTAAACTTTTACACTACATTTTCAACTTTACAACAATATACCCACTACCTTTGGCTACTAGCCAATATATGGATTAATTTTGAGAGGGCTTTTTTAACCTTTTTTTTTTTTTTTTCGTGAAAGCATTTTTTAACTTTTACATGTTTCTTTCTTACAAAAATTATAGGATTAAATTATTGGGGAAAACTTAAAATAAATATAAAGATCTTTTAGAAAATAACATCACAAAAATTTAATTATAACACCACATATTTTAAAAATTTTATTATCACACCACCAAAAAACCCAAAAATTAGATTTCAGTGATTTCACCACCACTTAACAGATCTTTGGATGGAATCCGTTAAGTGGGGTCTGCCATGTACATGTGTCAGTTGTTTATTGGTTAAAAAAACAAATTAAAATTTAGAAAAAAATCCTATACTCTAGCCCAGTCACCAACCACTGTCGGCTTCCCTACACACTACCACCGACCTGCCCCACTACCGCAAGCCTAAAAAAGCCGGCGATAAACTCCATCGCCCCACCAGCCCTTCCCTCGATAACTCCATCGCCCCAACAGCCCTTCCCTCGATAACTTTATCACCCTTACCACTACCGTCGCCGAATCACAACAAAATCACGACACCACCACTTACCACGACATCATCACCACCACCCTTGCCGAACTCAGCCATAAACGTCGTCAAACCGCCGAAACCCTAGCACGCACCCAGGCCATACCCAAACCCACAAACTGTCCTACTACTCTCACCCTCACCTTCTCATCTAAACCCAAACCTGTATGTACCTAGAAACCAAATCGACTTCTAGGCGGTGGATTTCACGGTGGATTTCGTATACGCAAGGATTGAAAGGACTGGGGTGGTTGTCGCGCGGATATGAGGGTGGTGGTTGGATTGATCTCGCTGGTTTTGGTGGGACTGAGGGTGTCGGTGGCTGAGGATTGGCGTTCGGCGGCTACGATTGGGCTGACGGTGTTGGCTAGTGGCTGGTTAAGGTTGTTTTATTATTTTTATTTATCTTTTTTTTAAAACCAATAACTAATTGACACATGTCCATAATGGTTCCACTAACGAATTTCATCCAAAAACCCGTTAATGGGTAGTAAAATCGTTTTTTTTTTTGGTGTTATAATAAAAGTTTTAAAATATGTGGTGTTATAATCAAATTTTTGTGATGTTATCTTTTTTTTTTTTTTTTTTTTTGAAAAAACCCACAAAAGGGATTAATTAGATAAATCAGCCAAAGCTACATCAACAATGCTAGTCGGGATTACATCTTGCCACACTCTCTGACCCACCTCCCAAGGGTGAAAATGAGCCCAAAAATGCGCTACTTTGTTCCCTCCTCGCTTAACATAAGACCAAATCACATTATCGAAACTACTACAAAGCAAAAGAATATCATCAATGATGAGAGAAAGTTCACTCAAATCTGCAGTCTTGTTCTTCAATGCTTGGATGACCTGAAGGCAGTCACTCTCCACAACCAGGTCACGCACACCCAAACCAGCCGCAACACGCAAGCCCCATTCTATTGCCTTAGCCTCAGCAATACGCACCTCCCAAGAAGCCTTTATCTGCTGAACTCCTACTGCCACAACAATGCCAACCTCATCACGCACCACAGCCCCCAATCCACATGCCAGCTCCCCCACAAACCCATTATCCACATTCACCTTCAAGAAACCAACAGCAGGCTTCGACCACACAACAGGCAGCTCACCCCCACCTGCTGCCACACTCCACCCCTCAGCCTTCTTATCACGAGCATCAGAAACTTCTCCAATAGTTTTTTGGGCATATTTCACCACCTCAACAGCACTCCTTACTTCCCCCTCCATCACACGAGAATTTCTTGCTCCCCAAATTGCCTAACAAAGAGTGATAACAAACTCAACCTCAATTTCATCAAGCTCACGAAAGCAAGACTCCCACCACTCAATCACATTATAAGCACGTACCATAGAAAAAAATGGAAATCCAGACTTACCCCAAACCTCTCTCGCAAGGCATTAGTCCTTCAAAGCGTGAATGGTGTTTTCAAACCCCTTACAACAAACCGAACACTCAGGGTCATAATCCTTAATCCGAGACTGAATTGACACACGAGTGGGGAGGGCATTTTGACAAGCCCTCCACGCAAAAACCTTAATCCGAGGAAGAACATTGAGTTGCCAAATCTTTTTCAAATAGCACACATTGGTAGTGTTTGCCTACTCCCTACGCCTCTCATCATAAAAAAAATTGCCCAATATGCAGACTTAACTGAGAAATCTCCTTTTTTCTCTAAATCCCAACACAAAGAATCACTAGGTAACCGAGAACTGATAGGAATATTTATAACTCTGTCAACCTCAAAAGGCGGAAATAGTTGAGTTAGCAAATCCACCTTCCAACAAGCATTCTCTTCATCTATCAAATCACACACCTTCATCTCAGGGTCCGAATTCCCACGAGGGGAAATAACCTTCAAGGATTGAGTTCCTGGGATCCATTGGTCAGACCAAATTTTTATATTTTCACCGTTACCAACTCTCCACCTCATACCCCTTCGGACCACCCACCTAGCTTCCGCAATCTCCCGCTAAGTATAGCTAGGATTTGAGCCCATAGCAGCCTCCATAAAAGATGAATAGGGATAGTACCGAGCTTTGAGAACCTGTTCCAGTAAGCTACCCGGATTATTAAGAAGCCGCCAAGACTGCTTGCCCAATAAAGCCCAATTAAAAAGCTTAAAATCTCTAAATCCCAAGCCACCTTCCTTCTTCGGTCTACACATTTTTTTCCATGCCACCCAATGAATCTTTCTTTCCCCTTGTTTTTGACCCCACCAAAATTGCGCTACAAGCGATCTTAATTCATCACAAAATGACGATAGAAACTTAAAAACACTCATTGCATAAGTAGGAAGAGATTGGGCCACTGCCTTTATCATAACCTCCCTACCCGCCTTAGATAGAACCATCCCTTTCCACCCTTGTATCTTCTTCCATAACTTCTCTTTCACCCCTTTAGTAATAACTTTCTTAGACCTCCCAACAACTATCGGAAGCCCAAGATAACGGTCATGAATATCAACCATCCGAACCCCCAAACTATCTGCCAACTCCACTCTCTTATTTTCTGGAACACCCTTGCTAAAAGAAATAGTTGTTTGTTCAAAATTAATTTTTTGCCCCGAAGATTGCTCATACACCTCAAGTGCCTCCCGGATCGCTTCCGAGTCACCCAATGAAGCCTTTGAAAAAATTATACAATCATCCGCAAATAATAAATATCTAATCGAAGGGGTTGTTTGAGCAATGCAAACCCCATGAAGACTACCCCGCTCTTCTGCACTACGAAACAGGTGAGATAAAACCTCTGCACACAAGATAAATAAATAGGGAGAAATCGGATCACCCTGTCGAATACCTCTTCCGGGAGAAAATTCATCTGAAGGCCTACCATTAACAAGAACAGAGAAAGACACCGATCGCACACAATCCATCACACACCTCCGCCAAATAATATCAAAACCAAACTTATTAAGCACAGCATCCAAAAAATCCCATTCAATCTTATCATAAGCTTTTGACATATCAAGCTTCATAGCCATACAACCACCCTTATTTGGCAAATTTTTCATATGATGAAAAAGCTTAAAGGCAACAAGAATATTATCTGTAATTAATCTCCCCGGAGTAAAAGCACTCTGGTTTACAGAAATAATCTTATCAAGAAATAATTTCAACCTGTTAGAAAGAACCTTCGACACAAGTTTATAGACCACATTACACAATTAGATTGGTCTAAAATCCATCATAGAAACATCATCAGATTTTTTCGGAATAAGGGCAATGTAGGTTCGATTTAAATACGATGGAATAGAAGCTCCACGTAAAATACTAAGCACAACATTAATCACAGAAGGACCCACAATATGCCAATCAGACTGAAAAGATAAAGGACACATACCATCCGACCCTAGAGCTTTGATCGGATGAATTTACCCAATGCCACTTTCACCTCCTCCCCCGTGTACTCGGCTCTAAGAGTACCATTCATGTCATCAGTGACTCGAGCTTAAAAATTTTGCAACGCTTGTTCAATGAGAGGCGGATTAGATGAATTAAAAATCTCCCTGAAGTACGAAACAACAACTTTCCCCACGGCCTCATCACTCGAAACAAGATCGCCCTCCTCATTCCTTAATTTGCTGATTGTGTTCTTCCACTTTCGACCCGAAGCCCTTTGATGAAAGAACTTCGAGTTTCTATCTCTCTTCGTCAGCCATAAGACCCTCGATCTTTGCCTCCAGTACACTTCCTCAACCATAACCAACCCCACAATATCACGGATAAGACTACGGCGCTTAGCAAGTTGTGCAGTCGTCAATCCACCCTTATTTAATTTTTTGAGCTTCTCCCTCTTCTTCCTTAATTCACGAAAAACCTCCCCAAACTTTGAAGAGCTCCACTCCTTTAAATTTGCAGCACACATAGTAAGCTTTGACTCCAAATTGAAACCACCACGCCAAGCAGCTTCGATCACACCTTCACACCCTTCGTCAGTTTGCCACACTTTTTCAAACCGGAATGGCTTGTCACCAAGCTTACAATTCTCATTCTTACGCAAACAAAGTTTAATAGGGGCATGGTCGGACCATTCCCCATAAATATGAATAAGGTGTGCCTCAACAAAAATATCCTTCCATGCCTCGGTAACTAAAGCACGATCGAGTCTGCTTTGAACATTATCAACACCTTCTCTTCCGTTATCATATGTGAACTCATAGCCTGTGAAAGTGTAGACACCCATTTGTGTCTCCCCAAAACCAAACTCGCTGATGAGTACCTTTCACGTCGAATCATAATCGAAAGAAATGAAAGTGTGGAAAGGTCTAGTGTTGCGGAAAGTTTTATTTCTTTTCTATTCTCCCTGTTTTGGAAAACTTTATTTTAAGAAAACAGTCAATCCATTTTGGTTGGTCCATGATATGGGTCCAATAGTGGTGTAGTTGGATGGGGCTTGCAAAGACCTTTCCAACAATATATTATAAGCCCAATTCCGATGAATATTGAGGAAGTTATGACCAATTTACTAAACTGGGCCCGGTTTGAGCTTTATGTACGGCCCAATGATTTAGGGGAGGGCATAATAAGATTTATCATTCCTAACGCAATTAGGAATGATTTTGGTCTTCTAGAATCTTCTAGAAGGTTCTTTTCATTCCTAATTCAATTAGCATTGATAAGTTGACTTTGTTGACTTTTCAGAGTTTTAATCAAGATCAAATAGCATTTTCGAAGGAATTATATTATTTTATCTTCCAGTACAGGAAATTTATCAGATTTTCAAAAACACGTTGAAATCCAGTTTGGCGTCCAACCCCAGGCCTTGGCGCCTGGAACCAACCATTGGCGCCTAGCGCCAGCTAGCCAGGGTTGGCGCCAATCCTGTTTTGCGATCTTCAGACTCTGTTTTGTTAAATTATCTTTTTTGGCTGATTTTCTCTATAAATATCGTACCAAAAACTCCGTTTTCATTCACGATTTCATCATCTACATTCACCAATTCACCAATTCTCTCATTCTCAAGTATTCTTTAGCATTCAATTCTTTCTTGCTTTTTCATACAAAATTCCGCATTCACAAGATCCAAAAACACCTAGCCATATTCGAAGTTGCCTTCGCCCTAGACGTGAAAGGTTTTAATTTCTAAGGGTTTGGTCCCAAATCTCTCTTTCAATTATTTAATTTAATTGTTTTGATTATTATTTTCCTTGAAGTTACTAACATGTGTATTTTGTTATTAGAAAGAGGTACGAGGCATCAAAGTAAGTGCTTTAATTGATTTATTGATATTATGATGTAGACATCATGTTTATATTGTTATTATGATATTCCTAGTAACATGTCTAGGGTATTTTTAATATTAAATATAATTGTTACGATGCTTCCTATATTCTTCCTAATATTTATTCATGTTAGTATCATGTTAGGGTTAAAGATTTGATTTTTATTGCATAGTGACATGCTAGGGTTTGTTATTAATCTTGTTAGTATCATGCCTAGGATCTTGCTATTTTTATTATGCTTTAATATTAACATGAACATGATTGTGATTATAATTGTTATAATTTTATGATGATTATTATTATGATGATTATTATTGATTATGTTGCTTGATACATTATTTATTCTTTATTGCTTGATCACCTTCATTGCCTGTTTAAAGGGAATTTGTACTTGTAATCACGCTTAATAAGATAATTAATAATCTTGTTTAGGGTTAACTTTGATTATAATTCAAGTGAATGCCAATAATAGTTTATTTGTGCATTAAATTCAACCAACATAGATTAAACAGGTTTAGGGTTAATCCTATTGATTGCATGTTAATCAGAAAGCGCACATGAATACGATCAGAATAAAGTAGAGGCCTATTATTAGGGCAGATTCAATCTCTTTTAGGTTGGATTTGTACCTTCAACCCCGAACCCTTATTTGGTTCATGACCTTATGGAGTTGACGATCTCTTGGATCGTTAAAGGGTGTAACCTTCATCCTATGAACGGTTTACAAGTTCCTTAAAAACTTGTTGGCGACTCTTTTACTCTATCTTCTTCCCTTTTGGACGCCACCGTACTTTAGTGTATGATCACAGTGGGTTCGAGCTAGTGGGATTTTAAAGGCTTGAAATTATTCCCTACAGTTTTTGGCGACTCCACTAGGGAGGATTTCTATTTTAATTCCTGAATTTGTTTCGGCAATGATTTAGAATGAGTGGATGAGACTCGAAAAGTTCTAAGTATTTCATGTGCGTAATTTTGATTAACATTACTGTCATATACATAAAAAAGATCTCATTGGAAAGACCATCCGTAATGAGTTAAAAACATATGATTTTACACGTAGGAAATTTGAGGAATATCTTTCACAACTAGGACTAAAATAACACTGCGCGAAACTGGAAAATTTTATCGAGCACAGAAAGCTGCTGAGGCATGTTGGAAGTAGTGTCAGGGGCCAGAGCTTGGAGCCAGCATTTTAGTCGTAGCGCCAGACGCAGTATTGGCGCCAGTCTCTGTTTGCTGGCGCCAATTTCCCCTAATACCGAGCCAGAAATATGTGTTCTAATTTCGACCGGTTTTTCGTATTGTTTGCTCGATCCTATTTCCTGATTGAATTTTTTCTCACTTTTCTGAAACCCATATGTGTTCCACATATGGACATAACCCTCTGGGAATTCATGCTCCATCTACCCGATTGAACGCTCCTGGCAACAAAGGGTACATCCGAGATGTTGAATTCACCAAACCATGGAAGTGAGTTTTTTTCTAAAACTCGCGGTGTCCCATCCACTCGCGCCAACCCTTCACGGTTAGGCTTCCGCGCGGTGCATCCGGACAATTAACCATGGACCCTCTATTGACTAAATCATATCCCGAACTTTAGAGAACTAGAGCCATGGTTAGGTTGCGAACTCATTGCATCATATTGTGCCTACTTGACTAATTGTGCATTATTTGTTGTGCATATATATTCTATGTTTCTCTTAACC